TGGATGGATGGATGGATATAAAAAAGATGGGATGAGGCTGAGAAGGGGCCAGTTAACCGTGTAGGCCACAGCTACGGGGAACTGAGTGGATGAAGTAACCCCTGACTGGTGATGGAGCCCGGCTGAGTGGGAACAGGCGGGGCTGGGATAAAGCCAGGAAACTCGCAGCAGAAGGGGGCTGCAAGGAAGGAGCCTGCAGCCACTGTCTGGATGTTAGCGAGGGAAGGAAGGGAGCCGGGGGAGAAGGGCAGGGAAAGGGCAGCGAGGTTTAAGATGGTGCAGACCTTGGCTGTGGATTAGAAGGTTGCTGGGCTGGAACCTGGAATAGAGGCTGGGTCCGTGTTACCCACCAGCCCCTGGGGAAGTGGTGCCACCTGGGCAGTGACTGAGAAGACAGCTGGAGACAGTTACTATGGAAAGACTTTGATACCCTGGAAGGGGGAAAACCCAGGGTGAGCTGGCCAGAGGGCCGAGCCTTGAAGGGCAGGGGGCGCAACCCTGCAGAAGGGGCATCGGACCTGGAAAGCGCTAATCCTCCAAGGAGCCAGGAGGAGGCGCTCCAGCGGTGAGTAGAGAATCCTGTGATGGGTGGATGGATATAAAGAAGTTGCATGGGTGGATGGATGGATATAAAGAAGGATAATTGGATGTATGTATGGGTAGCAGTAAAAGAAGGATGGATGGAAAGTTGGATGGGTGGGGGGGTTGGATGGATAGATGGAAAAAAGGGCAGTTGTTTGTATGGATAGCTATAAAAGAAGGATAGGTGGGTGGGTGGGTGAATGGAACTAGAGAAGGATGGGTGGAAGGTTGGGTTGATGGATGGATGGATGAGGGATTGGATGGGTGGAAGGTCGGGTTGAAGGTTGGATGGATGGACGGATGGATGGGGGGGTTGATGGATGGATGGATGGATGGGTGGATGGAAATAGAGAAGGATGGGTGGACGGGTGGGTGGATCGGAAGGCTGGCTGGGTACAGAAAGATGGAAGGATGATGGATATCAAACAGGCTGTTTGGACGGCAGGTTGGAGGGACATAAAACCACGGCTGGCCACATGGATGGCTGTAAAAGAAAGCCAGGTAGACGGAGGGATGGTTGAAGACGGAAAGCTGGAGGAAGGGATGGGAAAGACACCAGGACACAGCGATGGCTGACGTGAGGCAGAACCTTATGGCTTTCCTGTGATTTCCCCCAAATTACCGATGCAGCCCCCAGTGCCAGCCCCCCTGAGCCAGGCAGTGCCCCACCCTGGGGCTGGGTGGGAGCTGGCGCCCCCCTGGAGGGGACAGGCCACGTGTCCCACCCCCCTGATCCAGGCAGTGCCCTGCCTTGGGGCTGGGTGGGAGCTGGCGCCCCCTAGAGGGGACAGGCCACGTGCCCCACTCCCCTGATCCAGGCAGTGCCCTGCCCTGGGGCTGGGTGGGAGCTGGCGCCCCCTAGAGGGGACAGGCCACGTGTCCCACCCCCCTGAGCCAGGCAGTGCCCCGCCCTGGGGCTGGGTGGGAGCTGGTGCCCCCTAGAGGGGACAGGCCACGTGTCCCACTCCCCACCCCCCTGAGCCAGGCAGTGCCCTGCCTTGGGGCTGGGTGGGAGCTGGTGCCCCCTAGAGGGGACAGGCCCCGTACCTGGTTGCAATGGAGGACACGGTCTCTTTTTCTCCGGGTACTTCTCCTTCAGCCATTGCTGGAGCTCGGCGCCGTATTCCTCCTGCAGCTCCCGCAGCGCCTCCAGGAAGCACCGGCTCCGCTCGACACCCTGGCTGACCGACTCCAGCAGCGCGATGACCTGGTTCATCTCGGGGGCCGTCTCCAGCAGGGCGAAGTACTCGGCCTGGCTCAGCACCTTGGTGTCGTGGAGCCGACGCAGCAGGGGCTGGGGGTTCCCCTTGATCCAGCAGAGCAGGGCCTGCTGGTGCTGCTGGATCAGCTCGGGGTAATGCTGTGGGGCAGGCATCTGCAGGGGAGAGACAGAGAGAGAACCCAGGAGTCCTGGCTCCCAGCCCCCCTCCCCTGCTCTAACCACTAGCCCCCACTCCCCTCCCAGAGCCAGGAAAATGTGATGAATGGTCTAAATTGGAGGGGAGAGCGCCCCGTCCTGAGCCCCTCCCTGCAGCACAGCGCCCCCTAGCGCTGCCCTGGGGCATTGGGGCCAGCCCTGACTGCTGGGGGAGAGCCCCCCGCCCTGCAGCACAGCGCTCCCTGCAGCTGGTCTCCCGTCCCGTCACCCACCCAGCCGGTCCTGGCTTGGCAGCTCAGCTGGGCTGTGACAGGGGGTGGATGATGTGGGGAGGGCGGGGTGGGGCGGGGCGTCTTATCTCCGCTCACTCCAAGGAGCAGAGAACTTGACCTTCATTCCACTGCTAGAGCCCTCCAGTCACTGAACGGGGGGTGGGGTGACTGGTGGGGGGGGGGAGCAGGGAATGGGGCACGGGGCCTTTTGCCTCTAGGGGGCGCCGGCTCTGATCCAGCCCCAGTGGGGGATTCACTCTGGGCTCTTTCAGTGTCATGGTCCTGTCTGTGAAGTGAGTGTGTCCAGTCTCAGCCCTGTCCCAGGAGAGGGACCACGTCCCCCCCCCCCAGGGGAGCTCACCACCCCCTTGCCAGCAGCCCCAGCAGACAGGTGAGGGCTGGATCTGGGCCATGGGGACTGAACTCCCAGCCCTGCCCCCGCTCTAACCCACTAGACCCCCCCTTCCCCCTGAGCTGGGATAGAACCCAGGAGTCCGGGCTCCCTCCCAGCCCCCTCTGCTCCAACCATTAATCCCCCACCCCTCCCAGAGCCAGGAGAGAACCCAGGCGTCTTAGCTCCCAACCCCCCCTCTGCTGTAATCACTAGGCTCCATCCTGCTCCCGGCGGGACAGGGCAGTGGTGTTGTGGGTCCTACCTGGGTCCAGCTGGGTCTGCAAAGCCCCTGAGCCCTGCTGCTCCCGGGGTGGGGCAGGATCTCAGCTCTAGCCAGAGCAACCTTTGGCTCAATCATTAACCACAATCAGCAAAGGCCTTGTTGGGTAATAGCCCCTCCCTCCCTGGGTGAGAGCCAGGACTCCTGGGTTCTCCCCCTAGCTCTGGGAGGGGAGTGGGGTCTAGTGGTTAGAGCAGGGGGGACGGTCTCAGAGCCAGGACTCCTGGGTTCTCCCCCAGCTCTGGGAGGGGAGTGGGATCTAGTGGTTAGAGCAGGGGGGACGGCCTCAGAGCCAGGACTCCTGGGTTCTCCCCCTAGCTCTGGGAGGGGAGTGGGGTCTAGTGGTTAGAGCAGGGAGTGTTGTTGAGGTCGGTGCTTTTAATGGCTGGTAACAGAGGAAGCAGTTTTGGGGGGAAGAGCTGGGCCCAGCCTGGGGCAGGGGGCAGAAGTGGGGCTCTGCGGGGCTGTGCAGGGAGCTCTGTGTTTTTCCTTGATGTGGTGTCTGCTCTGGTCTCCGCTAGTCACCTGGCAATGAGCCCTCCCCCAGCTCTACCGGTGCCCCTCACTCCCGACCCACAGCCCCTGCTAGCCCAGCCCTGGGCTTCCTCCCAGCTCTGCCGGTGCCCCTCACTCCCGACCCACAGCCCCCGCTAGCCCAGCCCTGGGCTCCCCCCCAGCCCTGCCAGTGCCCCTCACTCCCGACCCACAGCCCCTGCGATCCCAGCCCTGGGCTCCCCACCCCCCCAGCCCTGCCGGTGTCCCTCACTCCCGACCTCTTCCCTCTCTCTGTTCTGTTTGTAGCTCTAACTGTTCAGTGTAATTTGCGTGTGTGTGTCTATGGAGCAGCGTGTGTGTTAATCTGTCGCCTTATCGGTGCTGCGAGACCATTCCAAGTGGAGGCCTTTGCCCTGTGAATATCTCCTTGTGTGAAACCCCCGGCAGTGTCACACCTGCCCGGTGTCACAACCACCCCCGCAGCGTGTCTCAGACACACACACACGCTCTGCCTGGCCTGCTGGGGCAGGGAAGGGGACGCAAACATGGACACACACTCACACTCTGTCTCTCTCCTGCTCCATTCCAGCAATGCCGGCCCAAAGATGGGGGTGTATAGGGGGTGGGAGCCCCTACGTGTGTCCCCCCCCCCCGATCCCCCCCCACGGCATGGGCCCGGGCAGGAAAGGGACTTGTGGGGAAGCGGGGGGGGCGGGAGCTGCAGCTCACAGATTCAGCTGGGCCCCAGGGCGACAGTGAAGCAATTATTTATAGTTGGCCAGAGCGCAGAGAGGACGGAGAGAAAACGAGGGCAAGAGGAAGCCAGCGAGAGCCAGGCTTGGGCCAGCTTTGGGGGCGCTGGGATCCGGCCGGACGCCGGCCCTGCCTGGTGAGCCCCCGGGAATTCCCAGCGCAGCAAGTTGGGGGTGAAGGGGGGATATGGGGGGGGATATGGGGGTGAAGGGGGGAGAAATGGAAGGAAGGGTGGGGTGTGTTGGACAGAACCCCATCCCCCGGTCCCAGAGCCAGGGGTAGAACCCAGGAGTCCTGGCTCCCAGCCTCCCTGCACTAATTCCTGGACCCCACTTCCCTCGCCTAGAGCCAGGGCAAGAACCCAGGAGTCCTGGCTCCCCCTCCCCAGGTTTTCTTTGGCTGGGACCCTGAAGGACTGAGCCCCCCGCCATCACTCCCCTTCGCAGCATCAGCCACCCCGAGCCTGGGGGGGGGGTCGGGACCAGAGGGGGTATGGGGAGGCCAAGGGCGGGAGAGTGAAACTGACCAGAAATAGGTACAGGAAAGTGAAACTGACCAGGAGCCTGTGGCTGGGCCCTGAGAGAAGTGTGGGAGCCCAGAGCGCGGGGGGTGGGGGTAACGGATAGCTAGACAGGCCGGGATAGATAGTGGTAGATAATTAGAAGTGTGGATGGATGGATGGATAGACAGAGGGATGGATGGGGATGGATAGTTGGGATGGTTGGGGATACATGTGGGGGTGTATTGGGATGGATAGATAGAGGGGTGTATGGGGGACGGAGGAATAGATAGGGTGTGTGGGGGAGGATAGGGAGATGGGGTGGCTGGGGGTGGGAGAGGGAGTGGGTGGGGATAGATGGGTGGGGGAGGGAGATGGGGAGATGGTGGAGGGAGATGGGGTGGCTGGGGGTGGGAGAGGGAGTGGGTGGGGTTAGATGGGTGGGGATAGATGGGAGGGGAGGGGGTGCGAGTGGGTGGGGAGATGGTGGAGGGAGATGGGGGGCACGGGGGAGGGAGGCCTGGGTCCGTGCAGAGGCCGGGAGCTCCCCCGAGCCGGGCCTGGGCAAGCGGCCAGCAGTGGGGGGGACTGCGCTGGGTCATGCGTCTCCCTGTGTGTCTGCTCTGCCCGCGCCCGGCTGCTGCTGGCGCCCCTCCCCCAGCCCTGACCTCAGAGCCCACTTGTCTCCCAGAGCCAGGGAGAGAACCCAGGAGTCCTGGCTCCCAGCCCCCTCTGCTCTAGCCACTAGACCCCACTCCCCTCCCAAAGCCAGGGAGAGAACCCAGATGTCCTGGCTCTCTTTTGAGCTCTGCTGCTGCCTCAGTTTCCCTGCTGTAGAAGGGGGGATGGAGGGGAGTGAGCAGCTCCCTGGGGTGGGGGCGGGGTCTCTCCTAGGGGAGGAGCTGGGACGGGTGAGGGGCAGGTGACCCCCTGCCCCAGTTTCACTGCCAGGATTGGCTCCAGCAACAGGAGCTGCGGGTTTTCGTAATGAAGCCAAAGGGCTTTGGGCTGCGACCGTCCTGGGCGGAGAGACAGCAAAGGGGGAGCGAGTCCCTGGGGCGAGTGAGATACGGGGCCCCCGATCTGGCCCCAGGGCGGGGACTGGCTGGCTCGGGGGGGCGGAGAATGGGGCATGGGGCCTTTCCCATTATGGGGGAGGCACTGGCTCCAATCCAGGCTAGAGCAGTTCCACTTATAACCCACGGCTCTCTCTCCACCCCCAGGGTTCACAGCAGAGAGGGGGAGGGGACGGACACCTGGGGTCCTAATTCAATCCACCCGACATGGCCGGATCCCCCCAGGCCGGACACGCTGTGAGCCTCACGTGGCAGCGCCTCCTGCTGGCCCTGCTGGAAGGTAAGTCTCTGCCATCCCTGTTCCCTAGCTGCCCCGCCCCAGAGGTGGCTGCATCTCGGCCGCAGGCGAGCCGTACCTGTGTGGCGTTATGTGTAGCTGTTCCCCAGCTGCCCCGCCCCAGAGGTGGCTGCACCTCAGTGCTGCATTCTGTCTTTCCAGCGTTGTGTTACTGCCATGTCTCTGGGTCCTGGACATCCTCGCTCCCTGGGACCATCCGGGCTCTGAAGGGTTCCTGCGTGGTCATCCCCTGCTCGTTCACCTACCCCGGCTCCCGTGAGTCCCTGGGGGGTCCATTCAGCGTGGTCTGGTACCAGTACCGGAGCAGGGGCTACCCCGAGATCTATAACAGCAAGGGCACGGCCAGCGTGCTGGCCGAGTACCAGGCCCGGACGCAGCTGCTGGGGGATCCGGAGATGAGGAACTGCACCCTGAGCCTAAGCCCCGTGCGGAGCGAGGACGCCATGAGCTACTACGTCTGGATCAACCCCGACTCTGTCAGGCATCGCTTCTACGACGTCACAGTCCGGGTGGAGGTGGCAGGTAACTGGAGACCCGCCCACCTCGCACAGGGCAGCCCCAGGGATACAGCCAAAGGGAGGCTGGCAGCAGAGGGTTCCACCCCAGAGGCGGTCACATTGCAGGATGCCTGTATAAACAGCCGTCCAACCCCATATGCAGACACCACATCAAGGAAAAACACAGAGCTCCCTGCACAGCCCCCAGGAGCCCCACTTCCTCCCCCAGCCCTTCCCCCAAAACTGCTTCCTCTGTTACCAGCCATTAAAAGCACAGACCTCAGCAACGCTCCCTGCTCTAACCACTAGACCCCACTCCCCTCCCAGAGCCAGGGGGAGAACGCAGTCCCTGCACCCCACCCCAGAGGCGGCTGCATCTCAGCATTAGGGAGGGGTCCTTGTATAAACAGCTGCCCCACCCCAGAGGCGGCTGCATCTTGGCGCCGGGCGAGGAGCCCCTGTATAAGCAGCGCCTGTGACCCACCCCAGAGGTGGCTGAATCAGAGGCTGATCACTCGCCGCAGTCTGTGACACCCTCCCCGTCTGTCTCCCCCAGACACTCCAGACCCGCTGATGCTGAGCGACCCCGGGGTGCTGATCGAGGGCGACCGAACCACCATCACCTGCTCCATCCGCCACACCTGCCCCTCGGCCCCTCCCAGCCTGGGCTGGAGCCCCGGAAGGGGCAAAGCGGTGACCAGCCACGAGCGGCTGGCGGGGGGCGGCTGGCGGGCGGAGTCGGAGCTGAGCTACACCCCCTCGTACAAGGACCACGGGCAGTACCTGCAGTGCACGGCCACCTTCCCCAACCAGCAGCAGGCTCGCAACGGGCTGTACCTGCAGGTCAAGTGTGAGTGAGAGGGCGCTAGGGGGCGCTGTGCTGCAGGGGGCGGGGTGGGGGCTCTCCGCTGGCAGCCAGGGCTGGTCCCAATGCCCCAGGGTGGCACTAGGGGGCGCTGTGCTGCAGGGGGCGGGGTGGGGCTCTCCCATGGCAGGCAGGGCTGGTCCCGATGCCCCAGCCTGGCACTAGGGGGCGCTGTGCTGCAGGGAGCGGGGCGGAAGGTCAGCAGGGGG